TCCACGCGCCCAAACCATTCAAATCGAGTAATAAGGAATGTACCAAGTCTTTTCAGAGCAGCAAGGGCTAAGGGTTCACCTTGCGGAATGATCTCGATAGCAATTCGATACTGCGAGATGGCCTGGTCCAGACTTGCCTGCCTCTTGTTTAGTTCAAATCCTTCCATTGCTGCCTCTGCATCCAGGAGCATTTCTATGATGGTGCCATCTTTGTACAATATCCCGCTTTCTTGACTGCTACCTCGGCCAATCTCCTCAAGAGGCTCTTGTAAATTCTTTCTAGTGATTACCCGAGTTCTCAGGACCAGGTTAGGGTATTTTTCCTCGCTTATCAGCGGCACCTCTGTCGTAAAAATTTGCTTAGTTCACATTAATACAGACAATGATCTTACCATGTTTCTTTTCCATCGTGTTACATAGCTCTAAACCGTTCGTTTCCACAAATGCAACCCTTTGACACTTGTTCTCGTCATCTTCCATCAACACAGATATCGTAAACGATGTAGTGATATCTGATCTACCGACATATATAGTTAGTAAATGAATAGTCGAGAAGGAATTGAATGACATACATGAACAAAATTGAATCGCCCTCCCACACCTTAGCGTCCGACTCTACGGGCAACAAGTTGACCTTCTTGAAGACATGTCCATCGACACTCGCTTCCAGAATAGGATGCGTGGTTTTCTTAAGGATGAAATCTTCCTGCGATGACAATTCGATAATTATATCTAGCGGCAATGACGTCAGCACCCGCGCTATCAGGTAAACTCAAGCTGTATTACCTTTGAGAACTAGTGCGCTAAAATCTTCGTGAGATTATACGAATAGATTAGGATAAGATGCTCACCTCATAACGATAGGGCGTTTTTCAATGGAAACTTGGCGTTGTGGAAGGAAGGATAGGATAAGTAGGTACTAGTTGTTGGGGCTTGGTCTCCAACCTCCCATATCTTGAGCAGGAGATTGCTTCACTCCCAACACAGGGGGAGTGTGGGGTCTAGACAGTAGCGGGAATAAGCAAATTTAATTAGAGGACGGCGCTCCGTTGTCATTAATTCACTATTCGCCAGTCAACGAGGCTATTTCTCGCTAAGACAACACGGCCAACACACATTTGTGCTAGTATTTTGGATTGAAAAGTGAGGTAGGTGGAAGTACCTTATGCCCCTTGACTGTGTTGACCGCTTCGTACTAATCGAGAATAAGCGCGGTGGGGTTTAACCCATATAGAAGTTCGTTACGGATGGTGCCAAGAATGGTGTAAATAGAGTGGTTTATGCAGCTGAAAGGTCAGGTATAACGTGGTTATGGTAAGGATCAAGTGCAGCACTGTGGCGCACCGAATCTTCTCGCTTTGCGTGATTTTGTTGACAGCCTGGAGGCCTTAATTAACCAGCGGATTGGAATAGAAAGGTTTTATATAGTTTTGGCTCAAATTTTGAGGTGGGGAATGAAAGCTCGCGGTTGCCCAATACAGTTCGAATTGGTATGATGATCTGGGCCATAGGCTACTCACTACACCAAAAAGAGAGGTGGATTGTAGTGGAGCTTTCGGATGGCAAACCATGCACTCAAGCTTACAGTCAGGGTATACTCAAGGCGTGTTCCCTCGAAATCTTCCTCGATTGAGAATTCTAAACAGCTGATTTACGTAGAAATTTTATGGATACATATCTATTCCATTTTGACGAGTACAAATCCAAAAGTATATGGAATTGAGGTTACACGAGTAAGATCTGGGCGTTTCTAGTCACCATTCTTTGAGATGTTCGGATATCAAGCATGACGAGCAGGATGAAGCCAAGACAAAATTAAGACCACTCAGTTTATTCCTTCGAAAGTTAAACACCTAGATGAACAAATGGAATCCAGTCCGTGAGTTGAATGCCTGGTTGCTTGCGAAGCTTTTGTACCGAAAGGTGCAACGCCTCTGCTGCATTCATACAGTCTGGTCGGCCCTCCTGCTCCATAATGTGTCGATAAAACTCGTCCGTCACCATAGGTGCGAGTTCGTCTCGAATAGACCACATCGTCGCTATCACTCCGCGATACCCGGCTAGCAGCATTCCACCAGCGATATGAACCGCCTCTTCTGACAGACTTTGATCTCCAGTCGTAGTCTGACATGCCGAAAGGAATGCAAACTCAGCCTGGGGAAGATCAAGTTGAATTATCTCCTCGAGTGTGAGACGACCGTCGTGAAGCAGGAGTGCGCTTTTTGTGGGTTCATCTACTTTTTGTATGCCATGGCATGCTAAATGCAACCAGTTACAGTCTTTCATACCCTCCATCACTCGCTCCTTCGTACCTCTTGGGCCCTCCAGGACGACGTGGTCACGATCAGCAAGACATTGCCGGATATATTCCAACTCTTTATCAGTGTTTAGTATGGCCGGTGCCCCAGGAGCGGATGACTGTATCACGGACAGTAGTTTGAAGGGTAAGTTGACGGTAGGCTTGGTTTGTTCAAGTAACGTGGATATCGTAGGGGCATATGACGATATAACGTAGTTATTAAGCTGCTCGTCGTCTAATCCAGGCTCATGGATACCAGCTGCGTGTATCGGGAGAAAAGCCAGCGGTCCGGTGGTACACCACCAGATCCGCGGAAGTACATCTGGATGAGGCTAGGGATACGATCGTAAGCGAGGTGTAACGACTTAAATTAGATAGACTCAACTGATAACGCCAAGGAATCTAGAACCGGCTTCACCAGATTTGTCCAGAGCTCACCGAGAACACGTCTACAGGTTTCCTTATCGACATTGTCCGTCACCCTCTTGGCCGCCCTAGTCTCCCTCATCCGAATACCACTCGAGTACAGCTGATCATTCAACTGATTTCGAAGCTCGAT